TAATGTGTGACCATATGTACCATTATGTGACTGATTTTTAGTACTTCATTCACCATTCAACCTTAATCCTACAGCTTTCAAATCATCATTCATCCTGAATCCTCCGAAATCCTCCAAAACCACCCGGAGGATTTTAGAGGATTTTGGAGGATTGAGGTGGGTTAGGGTTGTCCGCTGTACATTGACAGAAGAAATTTCATGTCATATGCTGAGTGCTCCAGCAGTTTTCAGCAGTTTGGATGATAGCTTTATCGTGCCCAGTCAGAAATGTTAAAACAATGTCAGAAATACCGTAAAGACGCAAAGCTGCCAAAATGATGCCATGTTGTCACCTCATACTTTACCCTAAGCTCTCTTTCTGCTGATTTAAAAAATACCCCTACATGTATCTCATTTTTTGAAAAATGCCAACTTTCAGCTCATTTTGTGGTGACTGTCACTTTTCACAAATGTGAGTGTGAATCTGAAAGTGAAGTCTTCTCACCAAATTAAAGTGTGGATGACAGGAACGCACACACAAAAATGCCAACTCATGCCCTTTTGTTCCCTGTTTCCAGGGTACATGTACATTGCCAGTGAGCCATGAAGTTTTCACAGTTGCTCATGCGGAATATATCCAGGGTGTATTCAGTTTTTCAGTACATGTACTAGGGCTGTACTGTACACCCTTGAGTTGTGATAGTCGGTAGGCTTTGTGTTATTGAACATGTTGAAGGTCCCTAGAGTGTGGGCATGGTGGAAGAGAATTTAACTGTCTTACATGTACTGGTACATGGATGATTGTTACCAGAACTGCCCCCTCTGATCAGAATGATACCCCCCTTTGTCACCAAATGAACACTCCCTGGATCGGGACGTCCAATCACAGTTTATTGTGGTCTGACAGTGCACCGGGATTTGCATAAGCTAAAAGTAGAATTTACCCCTCAGGATGGACAGGGATAATGCATACATGTACGCGTATGGTATAAAAAAGTTGTTGGCCTGAAAATTCTGTCTTTCGGTGCGCTACTCATCCGGGGCAGGAAACAACACCATTACTCATCTGCAGTACACTTTTCCCCGCAAGTCTACGCAGTGCTGTTACAGATGAAAAGGTAGGAAAATGTGGGACAAATACACTCTTGAAGACTTTGGCTTTTCTTATCCCATGCAGGGCTTGAGCTACCGATACAGTTCTGCACCTGGGCCATTCTTTAAATTTGAGTTTCAGTTTTTTTTACTGTCCCAGTTACATCTGACATATGAATGCTTAAGTTTAGAACACATTAATATCCAAAAGTGGGAAGCCAAGCAAATAAAATAGTTTGAAATCAATTTCAGTGGTATCCCTAGTTAATTTTACACAAGTCGCATCTAACAGCATAACAGGGACTGAAAAGTATGTCGCACGTCGGACCCCAAATTTATAGAACGATCTGCATGAGAAAAAGTTTGGGCTTATGGAGCAGCTAAGACTTTCAAAGACTGGAGAAAATTATTGTGCGTCACAGATGAAACTAAATTTGGCCTACCTGCAGTTAGAAAAGCTTGGCAAATATTTACAAGTACTCAGGGTTTGAAATGACCCAGTTCCTTGGTGCTATTAACAACTGGGTCCTGACGAAAAGCCCCCCCCGGACCTTCTACATACAGGTATACATGTGTATTTGAAATTTGTACCCAGCATTAAAAATAACCCTTGGGCCCTCCACTCATTCACTACGTTAAAAGAGACCCTATGAGATATTTGAAGGTTCAACTAAACTGGAAAATTCCTGCACACTGAAAACTTACATGTAGTCAGGTTCCTGTTACCGTGTTTCAATCCCCAATGAAAGAAACACAAGCAGGTTTCTCTTCACTTTTGAAATGCATGTGGCATCGGTGTGGTACGCTGGTGCTTGCCGCTGAAAATGGTCTAGTGCAACGACAAATGCAGTTTAGTGGGAACCAGTCATTAGGCAAACGTTGGATGAACAGTAGAACAGTTGAACTGGTCGCAGTAATGACAAGGCACGTGTTTAGGAGTAATGCCATCAGGCAAACGTCGTCGGAAACCATCCTGCATGTACATGTAAATATTGAACTCGTGAACAGCGTTTTTCTGGGAGTACATGCACGAAGCTGCAAATGCCCCCTGGCTAATATGTGCATCTTCTTTTTTTCAAGATTGATTTCAGGGTGCCATTCTTGTGTTTATGGCTACTCAAAAATGAGATTTACTCTTTGAGTATGGCTGGCTCACACATGTACTTGCAGCAGACCTGCAGGCAATAATGCTGACTGAAACTTCATGCAATTTATGCTGGGGATAAATTGGCCCGTGTGGCCAGCCGGCTATTTCTATCCCTGATCTGCATATATGTACATGTACATTGGTGGCACTGATTTATGCAGTTCTGTGGTCATTTTTCGTGCTTGCTTTCTAGCTGAGAAAATGTAGTTTTCCATGAAGTTGAACAGTCCTGCAACAAAATGTGGTCCAGGTTCAAATGTCGCAGTTTATGACCTGCAAAAATTTTTTTTCAGTAAGAGTGGGCATTTATTGTGATTTCCTTCTTTTTTTTTCACTTGAATGCCTTCTGAAGGTACATAGAGGCATGCAGCTTTTCCACGGATAGCTTATTTCCTCGTTTTTCACTTCACACTCGTGCCATTGAAAATTGAAAAACACTGAACAAAGTCTCGTCGAGATTAGAATATCCTCTTTTTTTCATAGTCCAAGTTACATGCCTGTGAAATAGCATGTCTGTAAACTTCTAGATGTTATTGTGCCGTACAGATGAGGTTGTGCTTTATAGCTCTATAACCTCTGTAAGGTTTTTATTTTCCTCTCAGTGTAATGGTGCAACTGGCAGAGACACATGCACACATGGCTGTGTTCATGTACAGATGTACCTAGCATACGGTAGTTACCAGTACAAAGCAGATACTTATATTTGAAGACCATTTTCATCAAGTGAGCAGTTACAAAATTGCCATCATGAATTTATTTACACTCATACAGGTAGTACATATACATGTTTGTACATGTACATGTGTAGGCGTACAAATTAAATCCCCTGATTGTACATGTACCATTAATGCTACGACTACCAGTACATTTTTAAATGCACAAATATGATGTACCATGACGACCGACCGACAGTAAGAATCCCAAGCCAAAGGTAATCACAGATTATTGACATGTACATGTCCCAGGACTGCCTCAAGGAGGGTCTGCTAAGAAGATGGATAAACAGAACTCCCCCAGCCAAATCAGATGATCAAATACATGTACATGTATGGTTGGACTGGTTTTGCTGTGATTGAGACCAACAGGAGAGACTCAGTAGACAGTACTGTACCTGAAAGGATCCAGGAAATGATTTTTTTTCTTAGAATCACTTTTTGTGTATCTCTGTACTCTTCTTCCATGTATGGAGACTGTTTGACATCTTTTTTGAGTTACGTGAACTGAACAGTGCACTTTTTCAAACATTAAAAATTGACAAAGTATTTCTGGACAAGTGAGGGCGCTTTTGCTTTGATGTAAATCCAGGAAGACATGGTTCAGGTTGCACGTTTTCCTGTTCAAATTGTTAACCCCCAATTTGCTCTCTGGGAGCATTTCTGTGTTCTAAAAAGGATTTTTGCTGGATTATTGCAGTATCCCAACACAGCAATAAATTGCCAAAGAAAACGAAATCTGCCATAAAAATCGAGAAATTTTCTGTGCACAAATCAGTGCAACATTGAGATTCAGTGCCTTGGATGACATCATAGTTCTGCTCATGAATATGAAAATATGCATTAGCATAAAAACCAAAAAAGCATGAAAAATACGGGGTTAAAATTGCAAAACAGACATTTAAAATGAGGTTAAATGAAACCCAAAGATGCAATGTCGGGAGTTTTTAGTAAAATTTATAAAAATATTTCTTTTTCCTGGTTCCTTTAAGCACAGTGCACTGTACATGTACATGTTCATTTTGTATATATGCACTGTACAGTACGGTACCAGGTTTGGCAGTTCTAATGGTGAAGCAGCAGGGTTCAGTAATCATAGTAATGAGCATCCTGTTAAAAACATTCATTTCGGGATGTTGGATGAAATTTGAACAAGATTGCTATCCTTTCATGTACAGCGTTCATGAACGTGTCACAAAGACTTACATGTAGTGCTTGCATTGAGCTAATGTACATGTACAACTTCTTGAAAATCTCAACAGTTGCACAATACATACCGTACATATGTACATGTACATGTACCTACCAGTAGATGCATGTACCGGTACATGTAGACTTTGTAGACTTGCTCAGTAGTGTGGCATGATTGCAAGACGTTCATTTGCTTCTTTTAGGAACATATCAACTGGCCCATCGTTGGTTTGGGTCAACTAAACTTGCAACTTTGAAATGTTGTGGTTCTGGACATCAAATTCCAGAGAAACGCCCGAATGGAACCAGGAGTTCTCATACAGAAACGTGTGTGTATGATGTCCACGCATGCGTTGTACCAGTACATAACATGATGTGTTATGTGCAAGACTGTGAGCCACATGTACATGTATCGGTAGCCACTAGCACCTGTACATGCACATGAATACTAAGGAAGAGGTACGGTACCAGTACGGGGTCGTTTAATTTTTAGGAAGGATGATTAATTGGACAGGTGTTATTGCATGTAGGCCGATTGAAAATATTTCCCCTTAGAATACATGTACATGTATAGCTGATTTCTATTCAACTGTTGAAAGCATTTATCCCCAACTATACATTTGTGGTGATTGTAGCTTGTACCTTGGCCGACGTACGGCACTAAATGTGCTGAAACTTTTCAGACGAGTGGGTATAAAACATGCATGGGAATGTATGACCCACATTTTGTTTCTAGACAATGTAGATGTTGGCGTCCACATCTTTCTGACCGCACAGTGCAACAAGGTGCTGACTCAGGGGCTCTGGGGCGGTCATTGTATTGTATTGACTTTATTATGTAACATACAATACATGGATTGTAATCTTTCTGTTGACAGACCAAGCCTGATTGATCACCACTGAAGATCCTGCTCAAGCCTCTGCACGTGACGGGGAAGGGCACATGTCAAAGGACTACTATTTGCGGGTGCATTTGAATGGTCAGAGTTGCAAGGGCTGTTGATGGAAGGGTGACCACTTGACTTGACTTGATCTGAAGCAAAGATTATCTCCGATCTTCTCAGTCTACTTATTTGATGGTTACACACCTACATGTACCCTGCCTAGCCCAGAATTTGACATTTCATTGCTGTGCAGACAAGGATAGCAGCATTTGTAGGACCTGGATGAAGGAATGGCCCAACTTGCCTGTTCATCCTCCAATGAAGATTTGAATGCAAATTACTGTGCCCTGGACCATTGCTATTCACCAGCCATTATAGTTGGTAAGTTGCAGTAGTTGGCTTTCCCAAGGCAGTCAGGGGATTTAGTAGGGGAGGTCATTCTTCTGCACCTGCCTGGGCTACTGCATACATGTTGTACATGTCAGTGGGTTTGAGGTTTTTTTAGGTGTCACTTGGTTTGTCGTTCTGTTCTTAAAACTTAACCAGCTTCCTTGCAATTTTTGTTTTTTTGCTCTCAGTTCAAAGGAGTGAGTTAAGTCTGGAGAAACTACAAAAGTGTGGCTGTTTTTGTCTTTTTATTTGAATTGGCATCCAAGCCCATTCAATTCACAGAATTGAGCTGCCTTCGAAAGTCCCTGTGGCCATTTTTGTCCACAGGCATTACGGGGACTTTTCCCAGGAAGTGGCAAAATATTCTCTCCGGGGAAGGGGGAGAGAGAGAGAATTTTTTGGGGGGAGGGGGGGAGATGGCAAACCACTTATCTGGTAATGGGCTAATAAACAATAAACAGTGGAAAGGGGCCGGTTTTTGCATTTCTCTTAAGCGAATTGGTGACCTTCATTCCCTTCCATCTCTTTTTTGATTTCTCAATTATTGGGGGGGTGGTTGGAGCGAAGAGCGGGCAACATTCTCCCCCCTCCCCTTTGTCCTCCTCAAACCCTCCCTCGAGGCCAATGTTGTGGGCAGTTTGCAAGGGTACAGAAAATTTGTACGACTGCTTTGAGCCGTGAGATGAATTCAATCCATTATACGGTATTGACTCCTACGGGTACCAGTACATCAGCATGTTAGTGTGTTACAAAATGACATGTACATGTAACTCAGGGACACACAGCTGTTGTCCCATTTGTCACAATGCACATTTCATGCGCGCAGAGTCACACCCATGTACAGGTAGACCCACACTTGCAGTCATCATCAGTGGGTCACTGTTGTGCTCACTCACTGTTCATTATCTCACAAATCCAAATGAATTTACAATGCACATGTATGCAAGTAGTGGAGGTACTGTGCATGTACATGTATCAATATTACACTGGATTGAGTCTGTCATGTGCTTTTGATAAAACTGTAGGGAGTCTTGGGATTTTTTTTTAAACCACCAACAAGCACGTTTAGTGAGTGACTCATTTGCAGAACCATGGTTCACTCGCTCTCTCTCTCGTGCTGGAGGTACAGTGTATTTACCTTGGAATCACATTCTCACACATCAAATTTGGTCACCGTAAGAAATGGTTGAGATTGGAAAATGCATGAATGTTGAGTATTACGTCAGAGGTGTTGACGCAGTGTGGGTCAGTTTTAAACAATTACTCCATGGACCCATTCTGTAGAGTTGCACGTGAATTGCCTTACTTGAAGTCGTCACAAAAAAGTAAACAAGCCTACAGGTGCTTTACATGTACACTGTATTGTAAAACTTGTGACACTGAAATTTGTTACAATGGAGGTTTAAATAAAATGCAGGGCAAACAAAAAATTTGGCCAGGGTTTGGGTTAAAATACAGACAGGTAATTGGTCAAAACAAAAACAAAGAAAACAGAGTTAATAAAATGAAACTTAGAGTGAAAATAAAAAAGAACGTGTCCCTTTAAATGGCAATTTACGCTGCGTAATTGCCACCGCACTTGAAACAGAATGCAAAATACAAATATTTCCTGTATGTGTATACATTTGCACATGTACATGTACATTTGCACAGCAAATTGACACATTCAAAGAGCTCAACCCACAGAATATTCAAAAACGGTGTCCTAAACTTTTAAGAGCATTTTTCATCATGCATAAGGTTGTAATAATTTATTGCTACATATAGGCATTGCCTGGATTCTTTTCCAGGGGTGGGCAAAACCATTGGTTTTTTTGAGGGAAGGGCACAGTGCTCATCAGCTACATGTGTAAAAGATGATCAGTAATGGCTGGAAGGGGTTGATGTTGGGGTGAAGTTCTTCGAGCCACGTGCTGATTTTCATCCCCTTTTTATCTCATTTTAAAACTTCCTTTTTCATTTTTTGTCTTTTCCCCCCTAAATTTTACCTTTTTCTAAGAGTTTTTTCCTCGGGGACCACACCTCCATGCCCCTTCTTGTAACACCCAGGTGTCACAATTGCAGTGTCTTTGCCTATTTAGTCAATTTTTACCGTGTACATGTATAAAGCAAACTTGTTCCAGATATTGTTTTAAAGCAAGGCTTCCCGTTTTGGGGTTCATGCAGCATGGCGTGTGTCTGCATGCTTTCAAAACTTTCGTTTCCTTCTCACAATTCTCCCAGTTTCCCAGACAGTTTTTTCCCAAGTGGTGCAACATTTCCCAACCTGGGTCATTCCCCAGGCAACCCATGCCAGTCCATTAGTCCCTCGTGCAACTTGGCACACCCTTTTCCCCTTTTCACGGAATAAAAGTCATTACTTGTTTTTGCCACCTCCACTTTTTTCCAGGTAACGGTCCGTCAGGAATAAGCCTGTCCTATCTCTTGTCTGGTAATTGGCCTTACTACACCGGCGAGCCCCACCCTGACCCCTACCTTCATGCCAGATTACTGGAGAATGAGGAACAGTCTATTCTGCAACAGGTGAGCTTTTTGAGTTCTAAAATGATCTGGGGAAATTAGGGACCCGAGAATTACATGTACATGTAGCACATGCACCATATGTACATTTAGGTATATATTTTCAGATTGCATGTATGATAGATAGAGAAAATGTAACCATGCCTGGAAGTAATAACAGTGGCACCTGTAGGTTGTTTTTGTTCAGTTTTATGTTTTATTTCGACAACCCAGTTTATAGATATTATTGAATACCTGTTTGGCAGGGGTTTTTTTTTTGTATATTTTGAGAATATACAAATGCCATTCTGAAAGGCATATGGCATATTCTTCAGAAGATGAATCCAAATGCATCTCCACCTGTCATTTTTCAAAACTTTTAAGAATGACTTTGGTCACTTAACCCCCTTGACAACGGGAATTTATTCCGGAAAGTGGACTCACAGAATTCCAGCCTCACTTGGCCACGAAGGTCACCTGCTCTCAGGTGTGCTCTCACGCTTTGATTTACACGGTGAAAAGGCTGATTGTTCAGTGGCATGCGGCTATACTCACGCTTCCACATTCCCGCTGCCTCTTTTCAGAGTGGGGACTATTGTGAAGCTGGTGATTATGATGCAAACTCAGTCTTTTCATTTCTGGGCTACACACAAAGACCAATTACCATATATACAAGAGCCATGGTCTGCTTTCTTTCACCGTGTTCGAAAAGTGGGCTGAGGATCTAAATTTTTACGGCATGTCTAGCCACCTCCCAGCGCAAAGGGGTTAAAACACAAATTTGTACCTTCAACTTCGCAAAAATGGTGATTTAGGGATAATTTGGCAGATTGTGTACATTTTGTGGGAAATTGGTTGGCTAACAGTGAATATAAAAGAAAGTTGGACTTATTTAGAGTTTTTAGACAAACGTTTGTACCAGATGACTTGAAAATTCTCTCTACTACAAAGACAATTCAGTGGGTTTTTTGTGCAGATGTCATTTAAAGCCCGTCAAAAAGACCTTTTAAAGAAAGTTAGCCATTAAGTAAATGGTGCAAAATTGACAGAAAATGATTAGGTACGGTAGATATGCCGCTCTTCATCCCGTAGTATTTTATACCAGCATATCTGCCAGGTTTTGATCTTTCAGCCACTGTAAATCTATACATGTGGCTGCATCAGAAACATGTAACGAGTACAACCTGCTCATTGTGTAATCATATATGAAGGAATTTTGATGACATTTGAGAATGTTGATGGAAAATGTGTGATGTTTCCCATAATCAAGTATGCTGTCTTTCGTTGTCTGAGAACTCAGCCCATGCAATGTATTCATTATGCCATTAGTTTTGGAGATGAGTTATTTGATGGAAGTTGGGGAACATCTGGTTATTTGCCTACGGTCTGAAGACTTTGGAGTAAATCACACGGCTACTCAAATAATAAGCCAGTTAAATTTACATCATTCATAAAAAGAACACAGAGATGTATATTGTTGAACCGTTTTGTTTGTCTTTGTGGAAACATTTTTTTGCAGTGAAAAAAGTGGTTTCTGGTTACATCCTGTGCGGGGACAGAAACATTCCACTTGTCAACATTTCAGCTGGGAAATTGTAAATAAAGGTGCCAATTTTTTGGCACCATTTTCTGTGAAATCTGACATACTATTTTTCAGTGTACCAGTATATTGAATGTAATCAGGGAAAATATGGTCAAGATCAACACAAATATTGCCATCCATGCGGCCGTATATGGCCACAAAGATTACACTTCGTTTGAACCGTACCATCAGGGACCATGCCAACCGAATACAGGGAAATGCTCAGCCCGACCACACGGTACCCTGTCTGGAAAATTCTCCCAAAATGAAGGCATGTACCGGTACCCACCCTGACATTCGTTCTTGTGGTATAATTCCCTTCTTTATCGTTTTATTTTTGTTGGGATACTTGCCAATATTTAGAATATAACAAATCTTCAAAACATATTGCTACTCAGAGAAATCTCCGCGGTGCACTGAAACTCAGTGTGGTTTCTGTGTTAATTGCATCCACAACCTGCTACGTGATTCATAATACAGTACCTGAGTATCTTCTTGTCTGCCTAAGTTATTGCAGAAGTTCATGTATTACTAGTCTTGAGAAACACAGTTAATAATGTGTCAAAACTTGGGGGGGAAAATGACACATGAGTGAATTTGAAATTTCAGCTGAGCTCCTCAGTCACACTTTGTTATCCAACTTCATGGAATAACCCAGGTACATGTACATTGTATCCCTGCTCAAAATTACATCATACATGTAAGTTATATGTAAAACTCGGGGCATTTGATTTTCATCACCAACCCCAGTACATGTGTCGAACGATGTTTCCTCTAGAATGTTTATTAGGGTAGGTTTTTTTACAAACCTTGGTAATGGTACCCGTACTAAGAGAAAAATCCTGGAGTGTTGCTCATCCATGGAGGGGCTCTTGAGTATCAAAGAAGGCGCTTTATCTGAGCTGATTTCAAAGGTCAAACAGCCCATGAGGCATCAAAACGGTTCTGATATGTCACCTTAAAAGTGGATGGGCACCCCAAGTTGCCATATTCTGGACGGGGTTTGTACTTGATGAAAATGTGAAACTGGTATTGATAGCTCAAGGTAGTTCGTGAAAGGATGACGGTTGGGGGTCCGTTCTTGCACTCTTTTCTTTAGTTTGTGCTGAAATTTGGGGAGAAATGATGTGGGACATCATAAATTATTCTGACGTGCACTTTTGCTTTCATAAATGTTCTGAAATTGTACATGATTTTGAATAGAACCTCTGTAGATAGCATTAAGGTAGTTATGCCAGGAATGTGTTATTTTTAACTCACTGTATGAATCAAACAAGACTGAACCCCATATAAATCTTGTCACTTTCCTGTGTGCGCATTTGTTAGGATCTGGAATTCTTGAGCAGCGGTCTGGAAGGCAGATCTCACAATCCGGTGGCGGTTCTGTTTGACAATCTGTACCAGCCCAATGCCGATTTGGTTGATGATGAGAAATCCCGCCTGGAATGGAGGTACCATCCAGCCAAAGCGGTGGCCCACAGGGTGCTGGGCAGAGGGCCTCCTGGAGGCTCATGGAGGGTAGGTACCTGTAGGCTGACTCTGTGGGGGGAGGGGGCAGTTGGCAACTTCTTTCTGCAAAGGGGAAAGGGGGAGACCAGATGACGAAGTGCAGGGCAAGATCTTATTGAATGTTGGACTGTACATTTTTTGTTCACAGTGTTCATGTACTTCTGAGATACAGGGGTTGGCTTTCAATGTGCAGTAGTAGACCTTTATGATGATGCTGCCATGTTTGTCTTGTTCCCCGTAGACCCATTGACAATAGTATTAAGACTGCATATGCTTATAAAGGGAACATACTATTTTTCCTTCCCTCCTCAAATTAGTTACATTGTAGAAAAGCAAGATGACTGCCCTACATTAGAGGTCTATGTATTTTATGAGGTGGAAGGCAGTACTGTGTTTACCCCTAAGGTGTAGGGCTACACATAATTATGTCCTGGCCTGTAGTCCTTGGGGGTACTGGCTAAAGCCCACAGTTTTAAGTGACCATCTCAGAACTCTCTGTGGGTGAGTGGATACCTTAACATACACCAAATCAAGTGCCAGTGTTCTGAAGACACTGTAAGACTTCAACTAGTGTTAGACGCTTAGCACAGTTGTGACAGGCAAGTTTTTGCTAGTCTTAAAAAGCACCATCTGGCCCTGGCTTCATTGCAGGACATGGACGACTCGGTGCGTACCCTGAGCCAAGGCAGATGGATGGAACTTCCAGGTGTCAACTTCTCCGACTGGGTGGCAGAGTACAGGTAAATGGAGCCAGGTCTCAAATGCACACACCGTCTGCGTTTGGGGTCCGAAAACTGTTCAACAGCTGCACATTCACTACTAGCAGCCATCATCTACCAGATCATGCATGACTTTATTGCAACTATGTATATTGAATGCCTAAACATGAGTGTTTCTTCAACAGTCGCCATTAGTCTGACAAAAAATTTAAAAAGGCTCTTTTCCAGACAGCATTTTTGGCTTATAGTGAACATGTTTAAAAACATGTACCTGAACGATCTGCATAATGTGTGTGGCTTTACCACTGAGGACAGAACACAAAGGGAACAAAGGGGGTTTCCTTAGGTCCTCGGTGGTCAGTCTGTTGTCCTCATTCGTCAGTGCCTGTGGTCAGTCTGTGGGAGAGTGTTATATTATGGTCACGGGGGAAACACAATATCCTATCCTCAGTGGTGTAGCAAGACCCGACTTACGTGCATTTGTTGTGTGCAGTGTACCTGTACACGTTTACATGTACGTGTACATCTGACAGCAACATGTACATGTACATCTGACAGCAACATGTACATGTACATCTGACAGCAACATGTACATGTACATCTGACAGCAATATGTACATGTACATCTGACAGCAACATGTACATGTACATCTGACAGCACATGCAGAAGGAACTGTAAACACAGACGTGACCATTTGTAAAATTTTATTGAGTACTTTGTCGCGTGGGTGCGGCAGAAGGGCGTTCAGACCGCTTTTTGCACACTGCTCACTGTGCAGCAGATGGCGTCATAATACCTGTTTGTCAGGCACAAGTTGATTTGTGGACTGCCATTTTTCATTCGTGATCAATCAGATTGTGCAAAGTTATATTAAACATTTCCGGCAATGCCCCGTCTACGTACTTTTCTTTTTGTAAGCTTCTGTATTGACTTAAGGAAGTTAGTAAGGAGCTGCCGTCTTTCTCTGTAGTGTATAGATTACATCTTCTGCAGTGAGGAAGGAAATGGGCATTTGGACTATACATGAAGATGGAAAGTTAAGAGAATACACAAAGCCAGGATTGTGGATTGAATTCGGAGCAGTGGAAATGCTGTCAGCTACAAAAAAAACCCCCTCCTTTTTGGACCACCGACATTGCTTCATTTTCACTGGAAAAGGGAAACTTTGCAGTAGATGTTCATGTGTTTGTACACTATGGCAGTTTTGTGTGAAAAGTACATTAAGAAAAAATCAAGCTTCAAAAAACCTAAGCCGCACAGGTGCCGTAGCTTTGATGGATGTACATGTACACTGCTTAAGAGGATTGTTGGCGCAAATATTTACTTTATATTAATGCTTGATTAATAAGATATCAGACCTATTCTGTAAGCATCCTTAACTGCTGGATCAAAGGTCGTTGTTAGGCTTTGGAGAGTCAATAAGTGCCAGGCTTGTGTCCACAGGGGTGTAGCATGATTTAGGGATTGTTGAGACTGATAACACTGTGTGTTAACCATATGCTGCAGAGTTTAAATTTGAAGTTGCGTGACGTGTACCTGGGGGATTTTTCAAGATTTTCCATTTTCAAAATTCTTCAATTTGGAAAGTCGTGAAAATTCCCTGGGAACTTGTCATGCAACTTCAATTTAGAACCGGCAGCATATGGTTAAGCAGCTGCTGGGAAACAGTTTTGGGAACAAAATGGTTATGTCCATACAAACAATCTCCATTTAAGCACTCTGATTGACATGATTGATTTTTAAAAAAGAAATCTGTCAATTTTTTTTTTGGGGGGGGGGGAGATATGGCCCCTGTTCCTCCCCCTCCTACGGTAGATCCGCCCTTGTGGAGAGCTATCTAGGAACTTTACTGCATTAAGAGCCTAAGAGCGTGATGTGACAGGTGGTGCCATTTTGCACTCTGGTTGCAGCCCCCCTCCCCTTCAATAAAAAGGATATTGCTGTATTTGTTGCTAGACAAAACATGTCAACATGAGTGAAATTAGCACACACATTCTAAAGCAGTAGTGCTTATAAAAAAAGTTGACAAAAGCAACAGTAGAGCATTATTCAATTTCTCTCTTCTAGTAGAAAACCACATACTGGGCTGACTTGTTTTATTGCACCTGTGACAGTCTTCTGGAACAGTGCACACAGCTTCACACTCTTGCCCGTGGTAAAAAAACTGCCTTGTGAGCATATTCAAGGAAGGAAGGAACCTAATGATGTCTCCATTCCTGTAGCTGCCTATTGATACAGTGTGCGGGGAAGGATCATGGAATCCCTGCATGTAATGTAATGTGTGCACCACAGTGCAGAATTCCAACAATTCAAGTTCTTTGCCTGCTCTGGGGGAAAAAACAGAAAACAAGAACTGGGCAGTCGGGCTGTGCACGAGTCTGCTAACGCAAGCCACTAGCACTCCCGTCACATAGGGTGTGCTATTTTATGGACTTTTGTTCCCTTGAGTAAATCCTCTGGTCACGTGCATTGCGCCCCAAAGTACATGTACCGGTATCTGTGTCAATATTTTGAACTCCTTGAAGCTTTTATCTTGGGGATCCATCGTCCATGACAGGAAGCCTACCACAGCTCTCCCCCCCAAAAATAAAAATACTGTCACACAAAACGGGGATCATTGTGTGCGTGCCAAATGAGCACGAACACTTTTATGCTCAACCGGGCCCCACTCATGGAAATTGTCCACAGTTGCCACAACGTCATTTTAGTGTACATGTATTTGTGTACTTTTGTAACTGACACCCGTTCACTTGATGCCTTGGTGTCTATTGTGTGCAAGAAAGCATGACACTGACTCACAGAAAAGCCTGGGGGAAGATCTAATTGACAGTTTGCATGTACATGCACACACTACGGACATCTAACAAAAGAAACACAGCACACTGACAATGAGCGTCCATTGTTATTGCACCGTACTTCTTTTTGTTTTAAATGTTCAGAGTGACAGGTGTTGCTAGACCATTTTGAATGGGGAGGGGGAAGGGTGCTACATGAAATTTGCCAACAGACCATCATGCAAAACGAGGGTACCGAAGTCTGATTCCCTGGCCTGTTTTTGTTTGTGTTGTTTTTGTTCCTTGGCAACATGTAAATAGCCCCAAAAATGTAACCTCACCCCTCAGAAAGGCCATGAAAGGTAACCAGTGAAAAGTCCAATTTATTGGGACCCAACCAGTTGTTGCCCCCCGCATATGGTTCTGGGTCCTCCTCTGTATATGCATATGGTCATGTACCAGTACATGTGTACCGCACCAAAACCTGTACATGTATTTACATGTATACACGGATGCCAAATGTTAAATGCTTGTAGTTTTGGTGAAAACTGAGACTGTGCAAGGGAGCAATTCAATTCCTGTTCCTGAGTTTCTTTCTAGCATGAACACTTTTTTACATTAAACATGTAAAACAAAAAACTGTCATTGCTTTAGGACTGTTTGTACTGCCCTTGGTGTTCTCTGTGTGTTCATTTCTCAATCCACAAAATGTGTTCCTTTCAAATTTGTCGAGCAGACGATGCACTGTGCAGAAAAACTGACGTGGTACTTACATAAGGGTTATAAAGATACAAATCTTACTCCAGGCAGTTTCTTTGTTCACTCGATGTAGTGCATGGGATTGCTTTCAAATTATTCAGAAATGGAAAGAACCCCATGTACTTGTACACACGTTTTCACTGAAAACTTGTTGGTGTTCGGATTTGATAATAACCGTAGAACTTACAATACATGTAACGGTAAGAGTCCAGTTGCCAATCTTGAGATTTGGCAATATGTCGCAAAAAGTGGTAAACTAAGTTCTTGTGCAGCATTTGGTAGATTACTCTGTTTTATTCACTTTCAGGAAGCGTGTGGGGAAGTGCTGTAACAGCAGTGACAATCGTGCTACTTTGGGAGATGTTGGGCGGTACTACAAAGAGTACGTGGAGACCATGGGCCTGGAGAAATCATTCCGACCTTACACCCTTGTCACCTCGGTCCAACGTCTCAAAGGCAGGCGCGTGATTAACAGTGAGAGTGGAGAGCCGGAGATCCAGTGCCAACGCTGTCGCAAGTACGAAGGTCAGAACCTCTTTGAGGTCAAGGGTCACTTTCTCAGGGACACCACGTGCTGCGAGAAGCAGGTCAGCGCCTGTGACTCCTTCACGGTGCTGACACCCAACGTGATCCTGGCCACGGGCATGGTGGGCATCCCCAACCGGTTGAACGTGCCCGGGGAGGACCTGCCTTATGTCTTGTACAGTGTCAAGGATTTGGAGGTAGCCATCCAGCAGGAGGATGTGCACTCCAACTCGGACCCGGTCCTGATCATAGGATCGGGCCTGAATGCCGCCGATGCTGTCTTGGCTGCCCAGAGCGCTGGGGTGCCCGTTGTCCACGCCTTCCGCCGCTCGGCCTTTGACAAGGTACTGATTTTCTCCAAGCTGCCCGAATCGGTGTACCCGGAGTATCACAGAGTTCACCTGATGATGCAGCAGCGCGGATGGGAGGAGGGGGCTGCAGATCGCAGCTACATCAGCCTCCCACAGCACACGGTGCATGAGTTTCAGCCCGGCCACAGGGTCGCTGTCAAGGGTCCCAATGCATGCGGGTACGTCAGGGTGTCCGTAGCAGTGGTCCTGATCGGCTCTCGGCCGGACCTGACCTTCCTTCCCAATGACGGCACCCACTTGGGTGTCCAGTCCGACGGGTCCCCTATCACCTACCAGCACAATCCCATTGAGGTGAACCCATACACCATGGAGTCCACCGCAGAGACCGGCTTGTACGCCATGGGGCCACTTGTGGGGGATAACTTTGTGCGGTTTGCAAAAGGCGGGGCCCTGGCCATCGCAAGCCACATCTGTAAGAAACTTCAGGATGCTACTGACCCGTAAGAAACGTCAGGATGTTACAGACGTACTTTCCAAATATCTGACAAGCTGTGTGCAACTGAATGAAAAATCAGTTCCGTATCATGTGTGATCGTTCCAAGCCACCATGCCTAATTGTGATGGAATATAAATTTTGAGGGTTTTGTAGCTTTATGTGCTGCTGTGTAATTATTTTCAGGTCTAAGTGCCAAAATATTTCTATTAATTCAATTTTAAAAATCAAAATGCTTGTAACGCACATGTACATAAAACCTCTGGCATACGTTTTTGGAATTTTTGTTTTTTCAAAGTTGAATCATGCATTCAACCAATCCCTGAACCACTTCCACTTGGTATTGATTTTGGTCAAAATGCTCACTTTCAAAAAAGAGACATGCACAACCAGCCAACTCTGGCTGGGGGTTAGGGTTTCAAGTGGATTTGACTTCAAATAATGTGTAAATAAGCAATTGGAAAAATCAGTAAATGCTCAAAAATTAGTAACAGTTCAAATGATGACATCATTATGGTGTCACTTCACACATACATGTGTTCATGTATGATCAGGACTTCAGATTCTGCCTATCCATTGAATTACATGTCAGAATAAAAAATTGCTCTTGTTGAAGATATCATGATCTTACAGAATTTTCCTAACAACCCACGCATTTAGTTGGCCAAGCTCACATTTTGCAAAAGAATTTTGCAAATAATGCATACAGCACTCATAGAAAAGCGATGGTGTCATCAAGACTTCATCTCACTTTTCAGCTACATCACTCCTTGTCTGTGCGCATATGAAGTTTGAACCCAATGGTACTTGTAGTTCACTTGATAAATGTGATGTAATGTGACACTTGATGTCATCGCGACGTCTGTCTTGATTGTTCCGCTTTGATGCCTTAAGGTCTCGGTTCAAAGTTTTGTTAAAATATAAGCTTAAGAAGTGACCAAAGTGGCATTCAGGTAAGAAAAAAGGAACAAAGACTAGGGGATTTGGGATTATGGAATAGGAAATTTAAAAAGTGAGGGAAAAAACCCAACAGAAGTTAAGGCTTCTCCACTATTTACTGAGAGAAAAAAATGGGCAAAGGAACAATTGAACTCTTCTCAGGTTATGTATTAAAGGACCACAAAGGACCACATTTATTGTGTAAATTTCGTAATATTGTTCCATGTAAACAAATCACCTGAAAATTAGTCACAGGCTGATTAGCTGGCAAGGTTTGTTTCTCTGATAGGCCGGTTAGAGCTGTTAACTGAGGAAAACAAGGGTTGTGGACATTTGATAGTGGGCAGGCACCCTTGTCTCAGAGTACATGGTATATTGGAGATATGTAGAGAAGATTTTCCAGTGCACACCGTGCCTTCTCTCTGTGTGATTGCATGTAGAATTTACTTTTGAGCATATTTTGAAACCTAAACTAGAGGCTTTATTTTCAACATCTGCACACTGTGTTAGTAGACCATTTATAATTTAAAAGTATGTTTGTACATGTATTTTACTGCTGCAAAGCACCTTTATTCATGTGGCGTATGAACTGATGTTTATCTTAACACAGGCGATTCACAAGAGTGCACCTCCAAGAGTTTGCAACGCGTTGGCCAGTCACGATGCGCGAAATCTATTGACCCAGTGTGCGTTTGGAAGGGGTCGACAGATTTTGCGAAATCTATTGACCCAGTGTGCGTTTGGAAGGGGTCGACAGATTTTGCGTGTTGTGATTGGCCAACGTGTTGCAAGCTCTTGGTGGCGCACTATAGTGAATCACCCGTATTATGTATATCTCTGAGAATTATTTGTGCAATAATTGTATTACGTGTACATGTAGATTTCCCCCTCATGATGAGAATCCACACCTACAAGATGAAGGTCGCAAGTTATAAGTGGCATGCTGTGCACACACTCCAGTCTTTTCTCTCCACCTCTGGCAAGGACTTAACCCAACTGCCCACCGGTGTTGGTTTATTACCGTTGAAAAGTTCTTTGTCCTGTGTGAGCTAATGTACATTTACATGTATGTATATGCTCCATGCAGGAACAAGAAACGGCATACGTTTACGTAGCAATGACAGCTCTTCGGTGGTTACTCACCGTGTGTGTGCACAGCTTAGCATGCATTTGGCATAAAGACGTAACCGAGCACGTGCAGCTGACTTCCATTTGAATGTATGTACTGTTATGCACATCTCCGCACCCACACCAGGCACCCAGGTGATGTGATGCCAGGAACCTATCATTAGGATTGATAGTAACTGCAGTTGTAGATGAAGACAGAGGCTGTGTCCAAATCGCTTGGCGAGGGCTTGAAATTACGCACGGCTCTACTGCAAATGATTGTGGCCACCTACGGGCACAGACTCGTGCTTAAATTCTAGCCGCAGCCAGAGGTTGAGCTGACCCATAGCTGCCATGAAGCATGTGCTGGTGCCAAGACCCTATGTAGATTGTGCACAGTGTTCCTGCCCTATGCCTTACCACTGTAGGGAATAGAGTTACCGTATGTTTGTTCAGTGATATCTCAAAAACCTGAGTATTCAACTGAACTCTCTGTTTTCCCAGGTTTTGTAAAGCAGGTCTCCTATTTCTGATGCCGTGAACGTCTTGACTGATTTGATTTACAACTTGTCACTTATGTGAATTCTGTGCTACACATAAACATGTTCATCAGTAGAAGACATTAGTCAGATCTCGCTAGAGCATCCATTCACATTCGCGTACAATGTATTCATGTCAAGAATAAGATTGTGCTAGAACTCTTGGTTTTGCCTTTTATGCTGGATCAGCGTTGGGGCAAATGTTAGTTGAATTCCTCAGGGCATGAAACATTACCCGAGAACAGGATCTGTAAACAGCAGTAGGGAAGCTGTAAAATATTCCATGAGTTTTTGTGTACAAATGTTTTCAAATTCAAATCAAGCTCTTCTGGACAAGCCAAGTTGACAATTGAAGCACCTGGTACCATATCTAACTTGAGCCAGGACAGTGTAATATTCATTTTGAAATGACAGGCAAACGCACATAAGTTCAAACACACTTCAGTGAGGACTGTTAAGTTCCATCTGACCTTTGTGAAAGGTCCATGCGTGCTGCATTAATTTTATAATTATATGTGTCACCTCACAATATTTTGAACCCTAAAAGACCTAAATTCTTCACTGTTGGAGTGGGGGCCGTTTGGGTTACTAATTTCAGACTTTTGCGACTTCATCATGGGCAACAAAAGTAGGCATTAATCTTGGCCTGTTTTACAGCACAAGAAATAAGAGAGTTTATTGCAGGGTAGTTCTAAATTCATACGTGTATGAATTGAATATGTAAAACATTGCTGTTAGTATGGTACAATTGTTTGAATGGATATAAATTCACTGCAGAAAAATTGTCATTTTCTGTTAATTTTTGTAACTGATCCCAACTATATTTCAAAGGTGGTAGGAAAAAAGGATTCTTAGTGTTATATTTATATATATTTAATATTGGAATCTACTTGTATATTAACATGAAATAAAATGACATACATCAGAGAATATTAATTTGTTAGGCTATTTTCTTTTATGTGTACTTGGGTTCATCTGCACCAATACCTATTCGTGCAGGGAAAAAACACCAATAGCAAAGCTCAGTTACAGTTACAACGGAACATCTCGCATATTTTGAAAGGTGCAATCTCACATTTGCAGGTGAATATAAAAATCATTATTCTTCAATAGCATGCTTGGTGTAAAGACAGCTACGAGACTAAACTCCCTTTGAAGTCGATGCTTTCGGGCAAACTGACCCTTTGAAGAGAATGAAGATAGGAGGCCATCTCCAACAATGATTCATTTCTCAAAATTGTTGTTAGTAGTTCGCGCACAGTGCCTATATGCATGTGCAATTGGTAACAGGGTTTTTATGTACCTATCAAAGTGCTTTCCAATATTACAGGTTTTTCCAGCCAATTTCAGAAAATGTGTAAATGAATTAGTAATACCAACATTTGTTTTTGAGCGAAATAGAACGAACATTCAAATCCCCGTTTCTACTTAACAAATAAAAATTCTATTTTAAGGAGGATGCATTCAGTCGTCTAGAGTCAGTGTTCAATTTCCTGATATTGATATATTACTGGTTTGTATATTGACATTCATTTTTGCGCAAAATTGAATGCACCTCTGCAGTCCTGCATTTATCTTGATATGAACTAAATCTATTTCAGAAAATGTGCAGGCGATTTCGCGTGACGTATCATGTAAGGCATGGCTGGCCAAGAATTAGAATTCATTTGTTTGTCAACAGAAGTTGTATTCTTAGAAGTGTTTAGTTGATTGGTTAAATATTTGAATATTTATGATTTAAATAACCATTCATGTTGTCATTGGAAACTATCGACTATTGTAGGAAATCTATAAACACCGGAACTGAGGGAACCTTCCTTCTTGTGCTGCGTTTCAATCACAGAAACCTTAATTTTTTTTACAGTTTGATAACGAACACACTGTAAATGAGTTACATGACATTTTTTATCAAAGTGGTGTCATAATTTGTGTAACCTTTTATATTCTAATCAAATTGAACGTATATTTTGTGATTTTAAATTACAGCAAATGAAAATGAATACTCCCGAAAGGTCACAGTAAAAGACAGATTTTCAGCGAATAAGAGTGCACATTTTTTGTAATTGGCAAGGAATACGTCAATCCAAAATCCCAGTCATGTATCTGTGACCTATTTAATGAAATGTAATGCACATTCATTGATTTGAAGGATGCAAAACGAAGTCGAATGCTTGTTATTACGAAAATGAAACCAGATTTTAAGTTGTTTTCAGCATCTACACTAAATTGAAATTTATTTTACAAATTAGATCGTGCATTTTCCGAAATTGGTCGGGAAAAACCTATATTACCTTTGCTCACTGGGCCCATGAAAAACTCCAAATACCATCTCAGCTCCCTGGGGAATAATGATAATGATAACAATACAGGATTTCTATAGCACCATTCCATCTAGATCATGGTGCTAAGGGTAACAACGACCAATGATATAAGGACATTTAAATTCAGATTGCAAATAAATATGTTTTGTTTTATTTGAAGGATGAAACAGTTTCCAGAGCTCTGATATGGGCGGGTATTGCAAGGGTGCATGCATCATGACCCTTGTCTGGATTCGAACCCGCACTGACCTGGAGCTTTACCCGCCAACTACGAATCCAATGCTCCAGTACTCCACAGGTTCAGTGCACCTGATAGCTCAGCTCAATGAGAGAGCAAGTCCATGCAGGACGCTGAATTTGGGTGCAACTCCAAACATGGCCTCACAACTTTTCATTTGCAACAGATCCTGGAATACATTTTTTTTTTTCAGGAAAACAGCGTATGCCGAACTCGAACTCCATAAGGTTAGCTGTAAGGTAAGCCACTCTGCCTCAAATGCCTATAAAAATGCACACAAGTGACATCTGCTATTTTCATCGACACTTGGCCACGTACACACTCTAGCATAAACTCACGCACATCCGGATTCCTACAAGGATCTGGGGAGGGACATGGTAGATTGTTTGGCTGTTTTCTCTTTCTTCTTTATTTCCTCCTTCCAGGGTGGGCTAATCCAAAGACTTTGGATAGATAACATGGCCAGACCCAATTTACTCCTCCAGCGATGAGGGGCTCTTTGGGAATACAAGGGTGGACAAAGATGCCAACTGTCTTGTGCTTCTGAAGGGCTTCTGGTTTTGACCCCCTCAATCTTCAACAGATGGCTCAATCTCCAACTGATCGCTCAATCTCCAACAGATCAAGTGGCAGGGTCCAAGTTCTTACACCCCCACTGGAGACAACTAGAGCTCTGTAGAGCTTCAGTTGTCGGAACACTGATGTTTGTCTGCAGTCTGGAGAGGTGTGGCATTGCCAACATAAGACTCCCCCCACAAGAAAAAGTCCAATCCACCTCAGCTGCTGGGCTTTTTATAACAGTACTGCTTAACATCCAAGTTTATGCTGACAGAGCCTCTCTCTATTTCAAAGACCATTCAAAAGCATTTATTATTGCCAAAGGAAGCTTGGACTCGTGGTGCTATGAAAATTGGGCCCTAATGTGCTGTCTATGGCGAGGGTAGACCCAAGGTATTTTACAATCACCTAGTTCTTCTGTGAGCTCACTTTCATCCCATTGGATCAAAGCCTGGTCAACAAGTCTGCTGGTCTGCATGTGGAATTGATGGTTGCTTCCACCCAGCAGGTCTATCTTGTCAGCAAACCCGAGGTTTCACGGTGGTTCTCACATACACTGAGATGGTGGAGTCCTGTATGGTGTTTTTGAGGTAGTCAAGCAGGATGGAGCATGCACATTGAGGTATCATCACAAATAATTTGTTCCATTAGAGTTGAACAGGCGGAAATGTACACGCAGCACGATAAAGTGGTTGCTTGCTATATCTGCTATATTTAAAACAGAAATGAAAAACACGAGCCTGCCAAAAAAGATACCACAGCAGTACTTTATTGTCATTGTATGGAGTTCATTCAAACTTCTCAAAAGCACACATTTGTACATGTCACACATACATGTACATACCGAATCACTTGCAGTAAATGTTTATGACCAGCAGGTCATATGCTGCAATTACCTTTTCAATTTCCCTGTTTAATGATAAAATTCCAGCTACATTGTTTCATGAGTGTCACGCGCAGCAGCATGCATAACAAATGTGCCCAACTCTCTCGTTACAACACTGTTCAAAACACAAAAATCATAAAACTTCAATGACAAGCACCAAGACTCATCAAGAGACCAAAAATTGGAGACGGACAGGTTTCTGCATTAGTACTTTCAGTGACATTTGTTTCTGTACCATGATACAGAGCACTTTGAATGCCGAGTAGCTACCTATAAATACCTAAAACAAGCTGGAAATGCCATGCTTGATTTTTTTTTGGGGGGGAGGCTTTGATACTCAAAAGTCTGTGCCATTTCTAGAACACCTTCCTAAAACAAACCCAATTGCGAACAAGGTTCTGATGGCAAATATGGTTCTGCTAAAACCTTTAAAAGTGTAAATTGTGCTGTAGTGAGGGGACAAAATGATGCAGCCCCATATAAATACAACTGAGTTGCACTATGACACCGTTCAGCAAGGGCTGCAGCAATACATGTAAAATCATGACTGTTGTTGAGTGGCAAGATAAAAATAATTTCACGAGGTGACATAGAACGTTCTGTTCCACAAGGTGAAGTCAAGTGGAATGGAGCATTCCACCTGTCACCTGATGCCACTCTGTAGAGTGCAAACGAAGTGCAAACAAATGGAGTACATGCACATGTTGGTCCTTGCGCTGGTTCTCTCGCTATTTTACACACGTAACTGTATGTGAATCACTTTTGTACCCTATGGCCCGCTTGTCTGACATTGCTCACATGGTCATTCCAAGTCGAGGGTTAACCCATGGGAACTACTTCAACATGTTCAATGCACCTAATGTATATGATAGTTATGCGCCAATGTACAGTTACATTTCCCTATAAGCTGGTGATAGAATTGTGCCAATGTGATGCAAATCTTTTCATTCTATTCCATACCATGCAGTCATGTTATAATCTGGGTAGTTGTGTCATGCTTTGAAGTATTTGCTCCATGGTGGTACAGCTGTGCCTTAGATGGTTTTGGAGCTAAATGCAATTGATCCCCATCACCTGATGTAATTAAAGACTTCTACGATACCTACATACAATGTATATACAAGTAAGTTGCTTCCTTCCAGTTGAGGCAATTACAGCATAAGTCAACAGTGGGATACTTTGAGACGCTGGTGGCAGCAGACATACCGGTCCTTATTCAAGCGCACATGCTCATAACTGGTAAACGGGACCGGTATATTTGTCGCCACGACACGTCTCAAGGTCTCCCATCATTTGTTTTCAAATTACCTTCTTTTTGAATTGATCATATACATGTAGCTGTAAAACTGCAGCAGAACCAGAAAAGCTGAGTTAAATGCCGAAGGAAAACAGTACAATTACATCGACACTTATACTTGCAAATATGTTGGAAGTAGACAGTCATTTATGCGTCTGCATGAGCTTCTACAAATTTACCTTTTAAAATTTATCCATAGAGTTTTACATTGCTTTAATTCCCCCTTACGTGGATGGAATTCCATAAACAGATGGCAGTGCCTTCCAACACCATAAAATTAAAATTAAATGTCAAACGTCAACACAGACAGTGGTTAAAATATGCAATATTCATTTACATGTCAATGCCATTGATGCGTACAATATTAATTCAACTTCTTTTAAAAGTACAATTTGCTAAAAAATAAACTATTTTTTCAGTTCTGAGGACATTAAATCCTAAAATAAAATTTTAAAATACAATAACATTTCAAACAAGAATTATTCCATGAATTCAAACATGCATGCACATCAATCGCACTGCAATTGTTTTGTTAACACCTGATATGCACGTTTCCAATTTCTACTTACAGTGGTTATACGGTGTACTGAGACCCCTTAAGCAATCTGTACTTTATGGGTATTGACTTTATACCCAACGTTTATATTGATAATCACTGTATGCTCAGTGCTTGTCAGAGAGCTTGCGAAAAAACTCCCAAGCTTACTCGGGTGGGACTCGAACCCACGACCTCCTGCTTACTAGTGCAGACGTCTTAACCACTGGACCACCCGACTTGGCAAGCTCGATCAGCTGTGCTTTCAAAGGAATCCATATCAACTTCATCCACTTCCCAACCCAAGAACCTCGATCCTTCCTCTTCCACGCCTCTGGATGACATCACAACTTCCAACAAAATAAGCGGCGAGTTGATATGCTCCAGTGTCAGCACTTATCGTTTGCCACACAGTGAAGAGGAACCAAAGAGCAGTTCCATTACTGGTGGTTTTGACGGCCCTAATAAAGAGCTTGCCAGTAAGAAGTTGACCCCAGAAAAAGGCCTTCCCATACACCATCTCAATAGCAAACTCGCTTGCAAGGCTCGCAATGGAGCAGAAGTTAGTAGGCTAAATAGTTGCTATCCGTACTCCGTGTTCAAAGAATTTGAGAAGTACATCCGAGAAACGGGCAGAGCTCTACCCCATTCAAACTACCCAAGGGAGGTTGTCCAAGTGGAGTCAAAGTACATGCATTTTGCTAACAGTGGCCAAGCAGTAGAGAATGCCTTTGACATACCATGGGAATTGTTGGCAAGGCAAGACAACATTCAGATGTGGTTGTCAAGGTATCAAGGCACAGGTATGAGCTGCAGGGACTTGTATAACAAGCTGGATTACATCAATCGTGCTGCTAAATTTGTGTGCACCATGAAATTACAGAAGCTCAGCAACAGGTTTATCACATTTGTCTCAAGCCCTCTCTCCAAATTCCATCCCCAAAAAAGCAACATGCATATGAAAAAGGAGCAAGAGAAGGAGCCAGCCAGTCCTTGATCTTCAGAAGGTGTACCACAAAATTCTGGTGGGGGAAGATGTCCTCAACGTCTTCAGTGACATCGTTCATGAAGCTGAAAGCAGCAAGTGGCCACTTCCAAGTTCCCATTTTCTCATAGCAATGAGGGTGGTGATGGCCCATGCCTTGATTGGCATAGTCTCAAGGCCAAGTGGAATCATCTATATGCATATGTACCGTAAGATGCACTCAAGCTTTCCTGTGGCACGTGTGACGAGAAGAAGACAGTAAATTTCAAACAAAGTGCACAAGACTTTTTTTATAAGTATGCGTGGTGCCTTAATGTGAGGCTTTCATTTCAATTTCGATTTAAAGTACCATAAAACTACTGTAGAGTGTCCAGTGACCAGTGTTTGTTTTAGTTTGAGTTTTTGTTAATAAATATCACAATAGATAGATAAAAAACACCCTTTATTTGATGAGTTCCCTGATAAGGGGCAGAACATACTGTCCAAAACATTGAGTTTTTCTCTAGGGTTCTTTTGATAATCCCACAAACAAAAAGAGAATTTTTACATGGCGCTGCCCCACTTACACCCGTTTCTTGTGGCACCTTCCACACTTCAAAATGTCACCCTTAACTAAGGCTTTCTCTTCCATATAAATATTTTTCTCCCTTGATCAGGGTGTCATTGGAGGGTACGAGAAAGACTAGCGTGTGGCAGCACAGTATATCTGCTAATTACCGCCAAGATCACCTTGGACTTGTGAAAAGGATTAGGTTTTCTTCAAAAGTGAAGGGAAACCTCTGAATAACTGTGGATTTTTCTAAGGCACTCGAATCGGTGCAGAAGACAGCAGGGTACTCTGGTGTGTGAGCAAACCGCCTCCAGAAAGCTGTTGTGACATGCCTTATTAGGCAGGCAGTGCATGGGGTCATGAGCCGATGTGTGCCAAAACCTGGTACTCAAAGCCCCCGACCATGCGCACATCCATGTATCTGGGCTGAATCAGCGCAGCACGCTGGATCGTGGGCAACTTTGAACTGGCTTAGTACTAACTGTAAAAGAACGCAGCATGCTGGCTCATATCAGTTGTTCTGGATGACAAACATTACCAACTATTAAACAACTTGATTTCAAGTCTATTAATAGGCAGTTTCTTGACCCCTGAACCCTTGAAGCAAACACCCTCCCCACCCAAAACAGCAACAGGTCAAGGGACACTCATATTCATGTACACAAACTAGAATTTAGCAAACCCACATAGGAATATACATGTACAACTACAGAGTAACGACTATAGCTATATGCTCCACATGTGAACAGATTGTCAGTGTTTTCACAAAGTGACAACAACCCCAAAATCTTACCAAATGGACAATTTGAGATAAATGCATCTGAAAATACCAGCTTTTTCAATACACATTTTCAATCACTTTTATGTTACGGATTGAAGAATTTTTTACAAAGTCATGAAATGTAAGACTTGGAAAATGGTAATTCATACCTAGTTGCAGATACATGTACACGTACATGTATACATGTACTTCCCAGAGAATTCACAGTGGGCAAAAACTTGTACGCCTTTTAACACAACTCCCTAGTTTAAAAGTTTAATTGTTTGATCTGCTAAGAACTGTCGTTAATTTAAATGTACTTTCTAACATTGGGCAAACTGTTCTTTAAAAGCTTGCCGCACATTGGCTGTGATTTTCCACGAGCTTTCCTCCACTTCAGGTTTGTTTTTCCTTTCAGATTGTTTACTAAAAGTATCCGGACAGCTTGTGAAACACTATCTTGGAAGTAAAGCTTTTTTTATAGGTTGAACCAGCATCAGCGAGGATGCATGGAGCACAGCAAACAGGCACAATTTTCTGTGCTGGCCACGTCTTATGTTGTGGTGCCAAAGATATCGTTTGTCTGTTGGGTGACTCGGATGAAAGTGGTCCGCCTGCTGAGTTCCTTGAGCTTCCCCGCCCCTATGTAGGTGCATGCTGAGCGCAGCCCACCCAGGATGTCTTGCACGGTGTCCGTCACATCACCGCGGTACTTGACCTCAACTGTCTTGCCCTCGCTGGCTCTGAATCCAATATCAGTAATGATTATATTGATGATGAAAATACATGTAACTGTGTCCTGCTACAGAACAGCACTGCTGTAAGGCACACCAAACATTTCTGTATAGAGTACTGAAGTGAATACATCACAATTATGGGCGTAAAAGCCATTAGCGTGTATTAACCAATACATGCGCGTACTCGTTCATTTCATACTCATTCGTATTAGTTCATTTGCACTACACTTTCTGGTTCACTGTGACATCGCACTTTGGTACTCTATACCGAATTCGATGTACCAAACTTTTCACTTGGCACACAATCAATTTTCCGTGCACTTTTACAACGCATTGAATTTGCCTTCAACAAACATCATTTATTTACGGTGAAAACAAACCGACTGGCGAAATAAGGAAGGAAAAGAACATATATTCAAAATATGCACAAACTTTGGAGTTGTTTATTTTAAATTTGATTTTATGAGTTGGCCAGTTTTTAAGTGTACTAAAAGCTGGTCACAAATCCTCATGTAGACACATTCGTGAGGCAGGCCACCACACATTTGAATGGGCCAGAACCAGGTGCATCACTAACAAAATTGCTTTACTGAACATTCGCTATACATGTACTGCACATCTTTATGCACCCCGTCATGTCATTCAACGATATTAGTACATGTAGGGCATTTTACCTACACATTTGAACCATATGCTGCGGGGTTTAATTTGAAGGTGCATGACGTATTCCTGGAGGATTTTCAAGATTTTCCATTTACAAAATTCTTCAAAAATTCATAACTTCATTTACTGGACCTTTACATCCACACGAATGACTGTCTGGAGGCTCCTCTAATCTGAGGACAACAGCTATGGACCAGATTAGGTATTGTATCGCTCATCCCTGAAGCGCTTTTGTCCCCGGTAATAATCCGCTCATGCTGAATGCCACAAACACTGTTATAATCATTCAAAATAATGACGGATTTCCTCCGCTACTGACAACTGGAAAAATGTTGGCTATTCCCAGCAGCCCAGTCTTTTGTTCCCAAGTATGGTCTTTTGTTACAAGGCCAAGCTCCTTTGTCCGATTTCGGGCACCGCTGCTTTGCGTACAAGCCAACGTCTCCAGTACAAGGCACCCCGGCATGAAGTGGTTAAAACACCTTACAATTCAAAAGATACAAGTGTACTTTTTTGTATTACACACATTTCAGTTTACTTCAACATCCACTAAAGCTTTGAATCTTTATGTTCTGTTTTTCAGAGCTCCATGGGTGCTCTTCAAATGATTCTGGAATCATTGGTACTGGACACTTTTCCTCATTCAGGCAGTGTGGAAAGCATGTACATGTGAAATACCAATGCATGGGTGAACCACCTGGAGACAATTAGTTCTGGTCAAATTACATATAAGCCAGATTTGTATGACAATGTTCCCATTTCAAAGCTACATGTACATCATGAAAAACTGCAGATTTTGTTTTGCATGTGGGAACTTGGTTCACCATGCACACATTGTACACTTTCCGTGCAGGGATTTTTTTCCTGGGGGGCTGGAGGTGGTTGGGGGAACCACCTTGTACTCACCGGTAATCTGCTACTCCTCCGGCATGTTTATTCATGGCAGTCGATGAGCTCATGCCATAGAACAGCTTCAACCTTTTGCCACTGCGTTCTATAATTTCCCCTCCGCTCTGGTCGTGGCCTGCCAACATGCCGCCAAGCATCACGTAGTCTGCCCCGGCTCCTGTTAGAAGCAGATCAGTGCCATTCACATGACAAACATGTGCTGCAAAATACCACTTCAGATATGGAAAGTGTGTCAGATCTGTCAAATCTAGAAAACTGCACAACACGAGAGCAGGTCCCTATATGTGATACATCAGTCTGTAGTGTGGCTCAGGCAGATGAAAGGATTGTCATGATGACGCTCTGACAACTGCAGTGCTCACTTGTTTAAAATACTGGATCAAAATATGCACTTCGTGTGCAAATAAAGTTCACCGTTATTAGAGCAACAACATATAAAAGTCTGATCATGCACACAAGGCGCATCTCTCATTTTCAACAAATGGACCATCTATCGTGTCTAGAAACCTTACAATTATAATTTGTTACAATTGGAACATCCAACCTAGAATGGAGGCTAGCTGAAAAATTAGGGAGTGCACAACACCATACAATTTCATACATGTATTAGGCCATCACTTCCACAGCACAACCGTGCTGCCGGTAACTACGGTAACTTCTCTAAGTTCCGTAAGGGATCCGGTTCAAAAAAGGGGTTAATGTATCCCTTGGTACATCTACGTGTACTCAAACTGTGTACGAGGGCTCTGGGCATGCTTGAATGCATAATCTGATTGTCATTCATTTGTCTTGCATGGTGATAACAGATGGCATTTTATAATGTAAACAACAGGTGTCCTAGTTTGCCACCATGCTGTTACAAGCACTGTGCGGTCTGCTAGTTGTAAAAGACTGACAGTAAAAGAGACCGAAAGCTTGTTTGGGTGGCAATCAATTATCAACTGCAAAATGCACATGTAGTTCAGAATTCTTAATCAGTTCACTACTAACCCTATCTAGCCATTTGCTTGAATTCTGCTTTAAATTTTAACATTGGCTCGATTACAACCTCTGAAACTCTGACACTGTGATGTCAGTCAATGGCCTGCAGTAGAACAGGGGCTGTCAGGCACATGCCAAAAAACATCAAGAAATTAGCCTGTTCCGCCAGGTTTCCATATACAAGTAGTGGTAACGAACACCAACAGTACGTACGTGTAAGAAGTCATAAAGCCAACAATCATGGGAGAGACACTGCATGACGTCATTCCACCCAAAAAGTGTAACAAAATGGCATCCAAAACTGGAAATACATGCATGTCATACGAAATGCCTTTTTAGGCGCCAATACCACCTCTAGAAGCCAAACTGATACTCCCAGTTTGATGTGTTTTGTTTGTGATTAACTAAATTGTTACCACTGGGCTACATATGTTAGTAATAAGGAGAAATGGGCAAAATATGAGGTACTCAGCGAATGAGACACTTTTGTAAGCCCTTCATGCCAGCGTACGTATTTGTATAGGCCTACCCTGGTGACTCAACGCAAATGGTCGGCGAAGTTGAATAAAGTTCAATTTCACTGACTGTTGCTGTCTCTGTTTGCATTGCAATAATGTGTTTCCTATTACGATTGTATATCTTCGGGAACTGATGGGTGATGCTCGCTGCATCTGTTTATGTCGATATGGAAACTAGGCTTGTTGAAAAAAAGAAGGCACACCAACTCCAGTGGTCCCAAACTTCCAAATCATTTTCTGAACCTGTCTCTCAAATTTTGTTATCCTGACTAATAATGCAAAATGACTTTAAAAGTTACTTTTGGCAAGGTCTTATGGTGTGACCTGAAAAATTAATGGCAACTATTGTTCTCCTTACCAAACGCCTTTACCACATCCCCAGGGCAAATGCAACCACCATCCTGCAAAAAGAATTAAACATTGAGAAGAGATGATATCATACAGGTTTCAACATATCTGTCATACTGCAAAAAGGCAGATGTGCCTGAAATGGCCTTATGCATTCGTTTTCCTCAACAGCCCTAGCCTTTAGTCAAGGCGTCTGGCACACTAGATGCTGGCAATACAACAGCCACGAATGCTTTAACTTGTGGAGCTAATCAGCACTTATTAATTCAAGTTGTTTCACATCACACAGTAAAGCAAATGCAAGTAATTCCACATTTTATTGGTCAATATCCACAGCATGTAATGCATTATGCATGAGCATTTCTCTACTGAATCGGTAGATGAATATACAGAAAAACACAAGCCTTCCTCAAAAGATAGCAAAGGCACTTATAGCTGCGCTACTCGCACTGTGCACAGGGGGCATGTACATGTTCATGTACTTACTGATATGATGTGACCACCTAGTCCATGGGCCGCATCAGCACACTCCAACACGGCGCTGAGTTGAGGGTAACCCACCCCGGCCTTCTTCCTTGTGGTACAGACAGATCCTGAGCAAAGGAAAACAGTACTGCTTGATAAGCAGATTTGTATGTACTAGAGTCCTAAGACCTTGAGTCTGAGTTACCCCAGTTGAGTCCAAGTCCTGAGTCACCTACATGTACCTGTACATACACATTCAAGTCTGACCATGCCGACAGAAAGTACAGTGTTCAAGTCAGAAGTAGAAAGTGTAAGATTTTTTAAAGTCTCAAACCAATTACTCATCCCTGACGCACCTAAATCCAAAGAACAAAAATAGATCACCTATATACAGTTATCAGGATGTAATGAACAAATACATCAGCCACAAAGGATTTGCTGAGACAATATACAAGTACAGTGGGTTTAGTAGTTGGTTTGTTTGGTTTTGGCTGTTTTTCCTGAATTCAAAATTATCAGTATTACAGTGTCCAAAGGGATCGGTCTGAGCCCAAGTCACGATCTGTATTCCACGGTCATCAAAGAATTTCACGGTTCATCCAAATGTGAATGGTATTTGACTTCAGCTGAGTCCAAAAAACTCGTAACCAAGATATTTGGAACATACATGTACCCGTATACGGCAGAAGGAAGTGAAGGCAGATTAAAGAGGTTCGCTTCAAAGTTCAAATCAAAGCATGCTGGAGATTTTTATCATCATCACTTTTCATCTTTTATTTCCCCAGGGATTTTCTGTATTTCTTTGTTTTCATGTTTACATTCAGGTACATGTTGCTGCGCCGATAATAAATAATATTAATGAGGAAGCATTTATATTGCACAGATACTATACAAATATACTCAACTGCACATGACAACGCCCATCACTGTAAATTAGGTGTTGGAAAAAGCTTCCTACAATAGATCAGTTTTTTGAACAATGCATCCATGGATTTGGCATTTCTTACATGAAAGGACAGGCTATTTCAAAGCCTAGGAGCTGCACAAAGAAATGCACGGTCTCCAAGAGTAGCCTTAGTTCTACAGTAGGGATGGCTCAGGATCAACCTGTCCTGAGGATAAACCGATAAATCCGTTGGCCAAAAAAATACCAACCTCTGAAGAAGAAAAGTGCACTTGTACCTGAGTACATGTAGTTGGCCAAATGATTCCACTTATACATGTAGATGTTAATGTGCACTGTCTTGCTTTGTATCTAACATTATATGGACTTGACGAAAATTAGCGCAGCTTTCTATGCCAGTATTTTTGTGATGATGTCATATACTAAGAACTGAAGGGCTCACAGGACATTCAATTTAAAACACGCAAAGCCTGTAAATAATTACACATCAGTTGAAATATTTTTTTAATGCAACATTTTTGCTTTCTTTGCAAATAAAAAAAAAATTTTCACAAGTAGTGATTTTTTGTAAAATATCATTTAATTTAAATCAAGGTGATTTAAACAGCCAACCTTAAGCATAATCCTGTCATGCCAGTCATGTATAATAAGGGGTCATTAGGGATTAACATTGAGGCAAAGTTGTACTTTAATGAGAATTTTAAGGGTGAGATGTTCATAGTAAGAATTGATGGCAACAGTCTGGACAGATGAAGATCTCACATTGTTCTTACCAGGTCCAATGCCAACCTTAATGATGTCAGCTCCTGCGAGGATAAGCTCTTCCACCATCTCGCCGGTCACAACATTCCCAGCCTGTCAATAACAAGGGGGACAGCGATGCATAACATTAGTCATAAAGTATTCTGGATTATGGTATTTTGAAGGTTTGGCAGCACATCCTTGGAGAGTTAGGTTCCTGCCTTCCACCTCTGCGGTCCGGGTTCGAATCTCGGCCTGGTCCACATGTGGATTAGGTTTCCAGTCCCTACCCGATTTACGTGGTTTCCACCCAGAATATTCCTCTGGGGTTTTCCTCCTACCTCTTAAACTGTAACTGCTTCTCCATGTCTCCCCTTTACAGGTTTCTTTGGGCTTGCGAGCTACAGTGCTAGGGAATTTTGAGGAATCTTTGGTGTCATTACCAGAAAGATTTCAGAATAATAATAAACAACAGAATAAGAATGTCAATGCCGTTGCTAAACACATGTCTGTACTAAATTCACGCAGACATTTTGCAGTCACGTTCATGTCCCCCCTCCAGGGCATGTTGCTTTAAAACTTTACTAAACTGGCTTTGATGACTCATTGACTTGTTGCTGCAGGTGACTAAAACAGGCCAGCCAATCCGACTGCTTGGCAGTTAAATATTAATAAAATGAAAAATAGTAATGATAAGACGGAGTGGCTCAAGTACCCAACAAAAATAGATGAAGGAAGTTTGTCAGTTCTTCCGTAACAGGCTAGCAGTGCTTCATCCTCCACCTCAAGCCCGTGCTGTGTGTCATCATGCGTTAACTTCTCATTCGTCTCAGCATTTTCATAATTGCCTGTGTCTACAGGAACGGTTACTTGTCTCGGTCACAGCCATTGTTACATACTGTATTTTCCAACATGGACATAGGACAGTAAATGCACAAAACCATTAGACACTCCCAGTTTTGTAATAGTTAAGTTTTAAGGAGAAAAGTAATCGAATACAACTCGGCTGAGTACGGTACTTTCTGAGTACTTTTGTAATAAAAACTTAATCTTTTAAAAGTGATGGTTTGAAGTCATTTTATTCTGTAATCTTGATGTATCTTTATGCATGTACCAACATTTGCATACATTCTTCAGCTTTTTTCCCACATAACTAGTTCAACATTTGGCTGAGAATTTGGTACTCAAATATTTCTCGACTACAACACTTTCCTCCCTCCCCCTTCCCAGGGACAGCAACGCCCCCTCCTGATAACGCCTGTCATTATGACGGGGGTACATGCACTCAGATACATATGGTACTACTCCCGGTATATGAATGTTATCAAAGTTTTTCACAGATGTCAATTCGTGGCAATTTTCCCCAATTGAAATAAAGTACATATGCCATCAAATTTATAGGAAAATGAATTTTGCATTTACCAAGCCATATCTAACTAGTTGACGATACTACATGTAATTTCCTTGGTACATGTAAGTGCAATGTCATCACTTTGTCTCGAGAGGAAAAAACCATGTCTTCTTTTAATGCATTTACTTTTCTGCGATCAATCAGATTTGCCACTGTGAGCTGTCTATTGATTTGATGGAACAGAGCTTTATAAGGGTGACCATGGTAACGGCTAGCATTGACATTTTACCGGCAGACGTGTACTAAGATGTCTACACGTAGTCCTAGTAAGGCTTCCTTTTTACTGCCAAGTTTTTTTAATTAAATTGTCCTCCAAAGCTGCTTTCCTGCATTGTTTTTTTGGGCAGTGAGCAAATTTGCTTTAAGAGGATTCCCCTTACCCATGTTTGCCACATCTGGCTTCGTTCACACTGCTCACTGCTTGCAGGTGACTTGGTCAATTTTACCTTAACTACATGTAAGAACGTTCATGCATGTACAATGTACATGTAATGTACCTTCACATAGATTCTCTGAAAGGTCCGTCATATGAAATCCAGATTAGTTTCACCTCTTGACGATTAAAGCTACATCGTGCCAGTAATGGTACATGTATACATGTAAGTTCTTGTTAGATAGGAACCTTTTTCATTCTTTAATCCATAATAGCAAAAACTTGCAGGCTTTATAATGATTGCAACACACTCATCAAACATTGCACGCATGCCTCACTCTAAAACCGCTATTCGTTTTGAGTGAACATTTACAGGTACAAAAATTGTACAAGTAATGTACATGTATAAAACTGTGCACTGACTTTTTCACAAGCTGCCAAAAAAAGTTGCTCCCATTATTTTTCATATTTACCCGGTACTCTAAGTCAGTATGTGTCATGTACATAAAAAAGAAAAAACTGCCAATTTCCTTAATTATTTATTCATTTATTTATCTTAGCATGCCATGCCCTATTCACACCGTGTAGTGCAAGAAGACAATGTTTTTTTCAGAGCTTAATTGATTGATGATTGCATTATACATGTACCTGCCTCAAGGACTTTGACAAATGACTTGAAAACTGCTCCTAAGTGTCATTGACCTTAAAGTGTAGTAGCACTGAATTTTTCTAAGAAACAATGTTTCTATAATTTTATACTCTTCTCCAAATTTATGAAAAATATTTGAAATCTTTTTTGTTAAATTCATTAAAAAGTGCCATATTCAAACACTAAAAATTGCCATTGCTTTCCTAGACAACTGAGGGCGCTGTTGCTGTGATGTCATCCAGGATAGATGTTTTTTTTCAAAGTGTGAACCAAAATTTAACTCAATGAATACATAGCTTATTGCTGTGGATTTACACAACAACAAATCACCAAAGAAAAGAAACTTGAGGCCAGCAACATCAAAAAAGATTTCAGCAGTTTTTGTGCTCAAACCAATGCAACATTGAGATTCATTTCCTAAGATGACATCACAGTTTTGCTCACGAATATGGTAATTCTCACTAGTATAAAACAAAAAGGTAGTGAAATACCCTTTAAAATAGTGAAACAGAAATTGCAAATAAGGCTAACTTTTTATTAAAACATCTGCACTGCAGCAACCCTTTAAATTTTTGAAAAAAATTCTTTGATGTTTTGAATGCCATGCTGATTGAAAATATCCCCTAAGAAGTACAAGTCACAAAGACTTATGGATACAATCCATCACTCCAAGGTCTGCAAACATCCCGCTGAAGCATTTTAATGAACTGAGCGGACACCTACATGTACATGTACAGGTGGAATACACCCCTGTAGCTTCCTAAGCACTCACTAATGCACCTCATCTGGTGCATATAATATAAATTTTTAGTTTCTTATCTTTTATACATGTTTTCCAAATTTCCGTCTCAGCGGGTGTCAATAAACTGTCGGCTATTAAAAAAAAGGGTAACGATTAAAACGTATACATGCACATACATGTATATGTAGAGTACATGAAGCATTTAGGCCCAGTACATGCAGGAGACAGGGATTTTGAGCGAGCAGCACAACACGCCACTGCGATATGTAGTTGCTATTTTTAACAGGCTTTTAAAATACATGCATCAGGGTACTGATGCGCAACTAATGTCAACAGGTCAATGAAATTGCAAATACAAAATTTTGCAATTGTGTACTGTGTTTTATGGAGTGAACTTTATACTGTAATTTTTAACAGTATTCAATGCATGTTTCACCTTTACAATTGTGGATTTATGGATGTGTATGCATACCAATCTTCGGCTCGGTTCATTATCGTAGTCAATCCCCTATCCAGTTTTAAATGTATTATAATAGTTTGAAACCATTCCATCATGCTTTTATGCCCTTAATAATGACTTCAAAACTTCTATGTTGATGCACTTTTTCCAGTAAACAGACAGCATCTGTTGCGCTCACTACTAAGTGAGTCAAAGACAGCGCATCCAATCCCAATGAAGAAAAATGGGTGCATCAACAGCGATTAACATTTCAGCAATGGAAGGGTCTCTGGTAATGAATCAACCTGCTGGATTGATCTGGCATAAGGGAGTACATGTGCGTAAGCCCAATTAGCCTTTTGCGAGTGACCTTTTAATAAAATCTGGTACTCTGGGTTCTTTAAATTCACAGGAACATAACAATTTCTATTCTCCATACTAAAAACTCTGTTGCTGTACCTCGTGATTTGGGGCAAGCTTTTGCTTAGTTACATAAGAGATGCCTTGCAACAATACACTATTCCCAATGGATAAGAAGGGCACAAAGGAACCAGTCCATTCCAGAGATGGTTGTTGCTATGCAAAAGCTTGTCCCAAATCATGAGGTATAGCAACAACGTCTTGGTGAATTAAAATTGTTACGTTTGTGTGCAATCAAATAACTCAGTGTACCAGATTTTATTCATATTTAACTCGCAAATGGCTTATTTTTACAAAGCCAAATTTGTGGGTTAATCTGAATTCGGGAATTTGAATATTCTTGAATGAAAATGTTGCACAACGTGTGGAATGTACAGAAAGTGATGCGACGGGACAAGTGCATTGTAGCATTTTCGCTTCTTTTCTGATAATGATCTGGATGGTCTTTTTTTTTTTGGTCACAGTAGGCAAAACGATACTCCCAGCTCATTCTGTAAGGCCGTATGTAGGTAAAGTAATGTTGCAGAGTCGAATGGCAAGGTTGTGTTGGGTCAGGCAGACTTTATGCATCGAATGAAAGTGTATGACTAAAGAAAATGAAGTGTAATCAGGGTGCTTTCGTGAACTCCACAATGAAGGACACAACCACTTGTACATACCGGTATTGTAAGCACAACAGCAATTTGCCGAGTGGCAGCTGGGGGCTACCATAGTTGTCAAGTAGACAAGTACCCAATCTTCAGCCAGGGCTGATATTCAACACTACAGCCTAGCACCAGACCATTCACAACCTGTATAAATATGCGCTGTGAACAGGAGACCGCAGGTCCTCAGTTCCCTATACACCCTTCTAATAATGACTGCGATAAAAAGCCTTTTGCGATTTAAATTTGAATAAAATCTGGTACACTGATTTATCTGATGCACGTAAGTTGAATTCCCCAGACTTAAAACACTGTTGCTATACCTCGTGCTTTGAGGCAAGCTTTTGCATAGCAACCAGCATTTCTGGAATGGACTGGTTACTTTGTACCCTTCTTATCCATTGAGAACAGTGTATTGGTGCAAGGCATCTTTCATGCAACGAAGTATGGCAAATACAAATTGTTTCCCAGTATGTTCATGTGAATTTAAAGAACTCCGAGTACCAGATTTTATTCAAATTTACAAGTAGCTCACAAAAGGGCTTATTGAAGCTATCATGATGAGAGAATAAAGCCTCACTGGAGATGAGACACAGTCTTGTTCCAATTCACAGTTGAGTAACCCATCCCACTACCCCTTCCCTGCCCGAGTGAATGTGTGGAGTTGCAACATTTCTAGGGTACATGTATTTGAGGTAAAGAGTGGTGCTATGCACTGCGCCTGGTGGTATTGTAGACTACCCCAAAACGAGCCTGTTCCTTTGGCATTGCTTGGCCTTCTTAGTTAGAACACTACCTGACATCGGCCGAGGACGGCTGTGGGTTGCCGTCAGTACAAAACTACCACAGTATGTTATGTGCTTGTAGGGTACTGATTCTTGTATATGGCAGGAAGTACATTTTTCATCCAAATACATGCAAACCAAATAATGCTAGACGTTTAGCAGCAATGGCAGTCAGGCATTTTTGGACATTTAATAAATATGTTTTTATGACATAAGAGTGCCAACTGGTGATTTTTTTTCACAATTTCATATATGTATACAAGGGTATATTTCTCTCACCAAGATCGTGAGCTCGGGGAACTTTTCACGCATGTCCTTCACATGCTGGACGAAGAGCTCTGAGTAACCGTTGGCAACATCGAGGCAGAGGTAATTTATGGCTGGTACAGCAGCAATGATCTCAGAAGCCTTGGTGACATCACTCTGGCTGGTGCCTATACTCACAGCTACATTCTGGGAGAAATTTACAGTATGGAAGTTGTTTTGTTACTTTACCTCGTTTAGATTCTAATAATAGAATGACACAGTTGTAACAAGTCACTAAATTTTGTGATTCAAGTCGAGTCATTTCAACATATTGACTCGAGTTGAGAAGTCGAGTTGAGTCATATTGTGTAGCTGAGTCAAGTACTTAGCTTGGGTCAATGCAAGCCTCACAATTATTTGAGCACAATACAATAGATAAACACAAGTAGCAAAGTCATTATTTGTATTTACACCAGAGTTACTACATTAGGTCACACCAAATTTTACTTTTGATGAAAATAAGAAAGGGTTGGCAGCTGACTGCCACCTATCTAAGGGAAGCACAATTTGAACTGTGCAAACCATCTGTATACACAAATCTGAAAGAGACTTGTCGGCAAGTCGAGCCTGGTGTCGTCGACCATGGAGGAGGAACAACGGACATGGAGGATGCTGTATTCATGACATGACACAAAAATTACCAACCACTACCATTCGTCACATGTTGCAAATCCTTTGCAAAGAATTTGTCGTTGGGACTCGAGTCTTATAACCTTTTGCTTGACTTATGTCTTCTCAGTGACTTGGGCTGAATTGAGTCATTTTCTCACAGTGACTTGAGTCAAGTTGAGTCATTTACACGTCAGGACTCGAGTCAACAAAAAATGTGACTGGAGTTGGACTTGTGCCAAGTTATTGACTCAATTTACTAAAACTAGGCAGAGTGGTAATGGCATGTGAAAATGTGACCTTTCCTCCTAATACCTTGTAAAATCTAACCCAATCTACCACCAATCTCAAGGAAGTAAACTTCTGATACAAATTACATATCCAATATCCTGAAGTCACTTAAAAAGCTAGTACTGTGACTATGATGGAACAAAGTATTGGTCAAATAAAATGCCTTGAACATGTTGAATGTCATTGCAACCAAGTTACAAGTATTTTCCAAGCATTTTACTTCATGTATTGTTTAATATCAAATTCTTTGGTTGCAAAAGGAAATAAACTGGTTACTAAAAATCATGCTCATACTCCAGAAAGCAAAATTTCGTTTGTCTATACACAAACAATGTACAAAAATATATGAGTGAAGAAAAATCTTGTGAACACAAAAGCCCCGCATTGCCACCAAGTACATGTACATATTTTCGAAAAGGGGAGTATTTTTTCCAGCTTCATTTTTACGAGATACATTTTTCTAAATTTTGTTTGTTCCTGACATACATTCCCCAGTTAGTTCTAATGAGATCTATATTTAGAAACACTGTTTCTATGTTGAGATAGCAAATCATTTTATGAATTATACATGTATTTTTCATGAAGTTTGTTTTTATGAAATATTTTTTTCTAAGGTAATATTCAGGAGAAGTACATGTACATGTACATTATCAGGTTTGGATTTATTTCTCACCAAACAAACTTTCAAAAAAAATATAACTCATAAAAAGGAATATGAAAAACTCCTAAAAATGAACTTGGCAAAATATATCTCGTAAAAACGATTTGTTTCCAAAAATAGAAGAGCATTTCTTTTAATAGATCTCACGAGAACGAAAACCTCAAGTGGAGAGTAAGTATCCCGAACAAACTATCATGGGAAAAATACACAGTTATCTCACAAAAATAAAGTTGAACAAATTTAGTTCATAAAAACAAACTTTGAAAAAATATACTTCACTCTTTGAAAATATATACTTAATGGCACTCCAGGGCTTTCATAATTAAAAGTATCCCTAATTCTAATATGGGCAATTTACAATAGTGCACCACCAAGAGTCTGCAACGTGCTGGCTAATCTAACGCACAAAATCTGTCGACCCAATGCACCAACGCATTGCAGACTCTTGGGGGCTCACTCTTGTGAATCGCCCATATTGCATGAATATGTACCTTTATTGTGTCAGGATTTTCAGCTGCAAACTGTTTCCATTCCTCTGCTGTGTAATGCTTGTGAATACAGGTGAACAGCCCATGCTATAAAAATAAAAAATATTCCACTTAAATAAACACTGACACAAAACTCAAACAGATGGCAGTAATGAGAGTGCACAGGTACATGTACATGTATGTCCCATGAAAGTTGAGGGCCCAGTATTTGCTGCAGCCAGTTGTGAGGGCAGACGATTCTACAAACCAGGTTGGACGACATGTTTGTTACATTGTCACTGGCATCCAGGGTATCAATTCAGCTTTCCAAAGCAAACTTTTTACAACACTTTTTCTCTCAGTTGTAGTTGAAGGGGGCACCTGAAATTTCATTCACGTGTTCTTAATGCCTGGCATGACGTGTAAATGTACCTAAATGCTTGGCTTAGAAAAATTACATGCAGGTACATGTAAGACCTTGTGTAACATGTTTGTAAAAAATGAAGACTTACACGCGCGACACACATCAAATTAAGTAGCAACTCATACCAAGAGATACCACACATTATTTTGAGCTACATTATCTTTGATGCAGCAAGATTCAGCCGGCATTAGTTGAAAGCCTTCACACTCGAGGTTCATTAGGGATATCTACCGGTACAGTGGAAGCCTGGAGCTGTGGTGAATTTTCTACAAATACGTCGCCTAAGGACGAATTTACTCATTCCAAGCCAAGCATTTTGTCGTCGTAATTTTCCGACAGAAGGAATCTGTGAATGAAATTTCAGCTGCCTCTGTCAGATACAAAAGGGTGAAAAATAAGTGTTGCCTCCCACACCCCCATGATGCGCTTGTACATGTATCCATCATATGGGATGGTGCCGGGCCATTTTACATTCCATGCCTCACTTTCAATTTCTTCAAATTCTTCACACAATATTTTTAATAACAAATTTTAAATCAGTCATTGGCATACATTGGTATCAATTTGTAATGAAGTTTCAATGGTTTTATTTCTACAAGTACAGTACTTTCAGGTTCCCAAAATGAGATTTTAATGTCACTTTCCATTCAGTCATCATGCGATAATAAAGAAACTAGATATTTCTTTTGTCTACAGTATGTCCAAAGCGCAACAGGTAGGCTGAACGTAAAAAACTGAAAGAATAATCCACAAAATGTTGACATTTCATGTAAATTATATTAAAACACTACATGTAATTAATGAATGCTCCTATTAAATACATGTACAAACAGAAAATGCAACCCATGTTGACAAGGCTGCATAATGCCCATTTTGAAGCAAATGAAGGTGACTTTCCTGTGAATTCAGGCCCCCCTACAAAATGGTGGTCAGTGTTTGTAAATAACAAAAGGTCTATTGTTGTCTATTTGATATCCACATTTGTGGGTTCTCCCTCAGCTATGTGACATTTACATACACTCCACCTCTTAGGGCTAGATTCCCAACAGTTCCAAATCCTCTGATTTCACTATGATTTTACGTACACCCTAGGGAGTTAGGGTTAATTCATTACAACATGTATGTATTGCACCGTACCTTGGATAGGGTTTTGGCCATCTCAAAGGTACCAACAGTGTCCATGTTGGCAGCCATAACAGGGATGCCATCGTAGGTCTTCTTGGAATTACGGAAAATAAAGGACCTCGTCAAATCCACCTAGACATGTACATTATTAAAAAAAGAAAAGAAGTTGCATGATGGCAATTGGCCAAGCTTGCTACGCATTTCCGTTCGACCATTTTTGGAGCCGGGGGGGGGGATTACTACGATCTTACTGCCACAGGCCAAGTCCGAAATGGGCTTCCAGAGCTACATGTACAGCTAGGTTTACTGTTAGCGCATCATCATGTGTTTCCAATGGAGTAAAACCTTAGACCTACATGTATCAGTAGACAACAGATTCAGATGTAGCCACAGCTACACAGGGCAGCGCATATTGAGCGTGCTAGCTGATGGTACACATGTAAGCTTAGAAGTCACACAGTAAAGATGGTTGCAAAATGAAAACAAGATGCCATCCCCGCCTCCGAAAATGGTTAAATCAAAATGGGGAGATGACGCATGTGCAATGTATTAAACACAATGGCATTGTTGGGTGGAAACAAGAGATTGATGAATAAAAACGTCAAATTTTCAAGAAATACTTGGTCTCATGTTCTGAAACTCCCGTGTGAGCATTTTCAAGAGCTACACATATACAGGTAGGTATCTCATGGTTGCTCTCACGGGACAATCTGATTGAAAAAGCCGAGTTTGCGCCATTGGATCTCAACTGTAAAAACTGGATTAAATAACACAAACAAGTAGGCTTCACATTACGACTCCATGAAAATAACAATGCCTGTAAGTCACATAGAGTAGTGATTTGGAGTTCTCGATGTAACACAGGCTTATATACTAGGCCTATCACTTTCACACTTGTGATAAGCCTTATTGCTAATACCAAGAGTGATTTTTGCACAATGGTACCGGTAGAAAGGCATTGCGGGAAGGGAAAAGGAGCGAATGCCTTTTTCCCATTGGACTTTTTCTTCCTCGGGCATGCGGAAACTCACATGTACTGTCCATGCTATCAGCAGAAGTATGATGTCCCTAGAAAATATGGAACTCCTCCTCAGGCAAACAAAATCAATCTGGGCTGGGAAATTACATGTACCTCCCATGGTTTCTTAGGGTCTTACATCGACATTTATCAACAATACAATGACACAATAGACACCCATACTGCACGAGAGCACCGATGTGAAGTTAGTTCCACGTTCGACATTCTATGTGGAACAAGTGCCCATTTGATATTCCAACGTTGAATAAGTAACCGTTTGACATTCAGGGTGCACACCCCAAGCAAATGATGGAGTGAAGAAGAGAAAAGAAACAGAACTGCACCACCATGCACATCCACTCACACATATAGGTACATATACCATTTCACAATGACGTATACGCATAACTCTCTCCCACAGAGGCAACCCAGGGCATGGGGTTTTGCGGGGTTAAACGAGCCCTGAAATGTAGAAGACGATTTATATGGCAATACAGGTATAATTATTAGAGGAAAAATGGTTAGTTGTATACCGGTACTTGCCGTTTTCATCAAAACTACATGTACTTCAGTCAATCCAAATAATATACATCAAGCCCATGCCCCGGGTCTAAACTTACATGTATTTTCAAAGTCTTTCTTTACACTTTAGCGACTCCGTTGCCTCCATTTCAACCAGAACAATGCAGTTTTCTACGGTTAAAACAGCTTTGACTTTAGTCTTGTTTGTGGAGTTCTTCGCTTGCAAACGACAAAGGAAAGTGAACGCATCACACCGCACTTCTCTTCAATTAAAATAAAATACCCAAACCCCATGTCCCGCCTGGCGATTACAAAGCTCACGCCCCGGGTCTAAGCTTTATTTTTCAAAGTGTTTCTGTACACTTAAACAACCCTTCTGCCTCTATTTCATCCACGACAGTGCAGTTTTCTACCATCATAACAGCTTTGACTAAAGTCTTGTCAGTGGAGTTCTTCGCTTGCAAACAAGAGAGGTAGATGGAGACCCCTGAGAAGCATCGCTTGTCAAGTGGAGGTTCCACAGACGCTTATGACAACACTATAGGAACTACTAACATTATATACTGGACATGCATCACATCACACTTCTCTCAAAATACCCAAACCCCACGCCCCGCCTGGAGATTACATTGAATCAAATCTCATTGTTCTCCTCAGTCAGTGACAACTCATTGCACCAGGGACACAGGGTTTTTCAGGGTCATACAAGCCCTGAAATGTACATGTAGGTGGCATAGTTTGTTTTTTGTCCCTTCAACGAATGTCAAACGGTTATTTATTCAACGCTGAATATCAAACAAAAGTTTAACATTGATTGTTAGACCATGGTCATAGATAGTGAATTTTAATTGGCCGCGAATTAATCACCTGATATGTTACAAGCATGCATGACGCATGTGCATGTATCATTTACACGTCGAGCACCCTGGTGATGTTGCTGCGTTGCAAAAAATGATGGATAATGGTGATCTTTCCCACAGTTGATGTGTCGTGTCAACTGTGTTATAATTTTTTTAACCTCGGGTACGAGGGTGGATAGCCGCAGTGGTACTACGCGTCAATTATTGTAGGAGATGTGCTCTGTGTGTGGGACATTGAAGCACTGTGTTCTGTTCACGTGCTACTCGTGGTCGTGAAACGCGAGTATGCACTCATCACTGTTTCTGCTGCGATCGCTATTGCTGTATATGTAAAATGCTCACACGGTTGTCTCTTCTTGTCTACTCTTCAATCTTGTCAATCTTGAAATTCAACCAGTCGACAAAAACCCTAGTACTTTATGGATCTCAGGTTGAAACCAGCTTGTTATGAATCCTAGATTCCTCTCCCCCCAAACATGCCAAAAAACAAAACAAAACATACATGTGGGTCAACAAAGGATATCACAATCAATATTTCCCTAGCCCTTTAAAGCTCAATTGCAGAATACCCCGCCACCCCACATGATCAACCTCATCGCCAGGTACAAGTGTCACATTCTTCTCAAGATGTCAACCAGCCCCCTGGCCGACTTGCCCCTTCCTGACTCGCCCCCTTGCCAACTCACCCCCTGACAGACTCACCCCTTACCATCCCACCCCGTAGCCAACTTGCCCCGTGGCAGTGTCTCCCCCTAGACGACTCGCCCCTTTAACTTGCCTCCCTCCCCCCCCAAACTTGCCTCCTGACCAAGTCGCCCCTCAGAGGACAGTCCGCAGGTTTGGACCATCTACATTTCTGAAGTGATAATAGGCCTAAGTGTCCTGGCAGAAGGCGGGAAATTGAAGAATTCACCCTGAAGGGGATTATTGAGAATTACTCAATAAACTTGCATTTGGTTGATTGACTGATTGTAGAACAAGCAAGGCTTATCAGAATTCATTATCTGGCACACATCATTACCTCGACCTACTTGTATTTAAATTGTTCTGTGCAACTAATTTTGTGTAAATCTCACTTTAAATATAATTAAACAAAATGTTCTTTGCTCTCAACTTTAAGCTGCGTTCGTCTTGTTTTAATTATAACCATGTTACAACCATGATTATTATTTTCATAATAATTTATAATTATTATCCCGCCTTCTGTAAAGACACTGAGAAGGGACAACTTGGTTAGGAGGCGAGTTTGTCAGGAGGCGAGTTTGCCAGGGGGTGAGTTGGCGAAGGGGTGACTCGGCTAGGAAGTGACTCCTCTGGGAGGCAAGTTGGCAAATGGGCGAGATGGTAAGGGGCGAGTCGGCCGGGGGCGAGTTGACCTGATTCCCTTCTGAAGGGATTTTCACCATGTACCCACATAACCAGTCATTCCAGGGGTCTTTTTTAGAGTGGTGGGGTATTCTGCAATTTCTCCTATTTTAATATTTGTCATAGACTGTTTTAATCTATCTTACAATAAAATATGCACATACAGGTAGGCTTGGATTACACATAGGCCTAGGCCTCAAACTGTTTAACTGAAATCTATGACCATAAAAAATTACTATAACCATTGTTGCATGCTGTTACAGAGTCCATGGCAATGGGTCTTGTACACCGCGAGGGGGCAAATTGCACCTTCTGTTTATACTTAAACAATAAAGAGCTAAGCTTTACGAACATTATAGCCCATTGTTCCGATATTGCTGTGTTATGTACTTGAACAAAATAATAAAAAACACCCATTAATACTGATAAAAAAGCCACGAAAGCTGGATGTCTGTGATCAATTACTGTAAACCTAGAAATGAAAAAGTTTCTTTAAATCAATATTATAGGAGGACGCAAGTTTGCAGGAAATAATATCAATTGTACAGCGTGGTGGCTGTTTGTTTTCTCGATCTGCTAGGCCTATGACACCTATACTTTCATTTCTTCTGCACGGTTTTGAAACTTTTGTCCCTCACAAAATAAGGCCCTTCCTCTTTCCACGAACTAATGTGCTGTTTTTCAAGAACGAGTGCCAAAATATCGGTGGGTCCGAGTTGTCCACTGTTGGGTCCCAGTTGTCCTGGGTCGGGGTCCGAACAACTCGACCATTTACCAACTCGACTTCAGACAACTCGACCGTTGAAACAACTCGACCGTCCGTATGTAAAAGGGAGAGACAAGTCGACCGTTGGGACAAGTCCTCTGTTGCGGGACACTGTCCGCTAAGCCCAGTCGTCTATTGAGGCTATGTATGTATGCCTTAAGGATGGAATTTCATGTAGTCGATAAACAAGCTTAATTTCTGAGGAATTTATAAAAATGGTGGCTGTAGTAAGTCATTCTTTGCGCAGTCAACCGATCTTACACCCGCACTGCACCTATATGGACCGTATGCATTACAGTCGTAGCTTGAAATAAAAACCTACCTACTTGGTGCTGTCCTTCAGTTCTGCATTCTCAGACAAGTTTGGGTTTAAAGTGCAATGTAAACTTCTTCTTGAACAAAACTTGCCCTCAGAAAATTTTGGCCAGAATTCTGATTCGCACTTTGATATTTTGGAACGGTAGGGAGACAAAATGACAAATAGTCTAGGGCGATATATCACTCACTACGAGTGATCCCAAATCCTTTTTCTCATACTCAACAGTCATATAAACTCTTGCATCTAATGTCTGTTTAATCAAAATGACTTTCAAAGTTGGGTTTTATTAAAACTGGCCAAAAACTGAGCGCATATTGTTTCCTAGTTTTGGATCATGCATTAAGTGCATGCACGCAATATACTTTGTGAACTCATCTCGCTAATACGGATGTTGCAGAAATGTATGTGACGTAATGGGTTTGTCAGCTGTGCGGCACAAAGTAGTATTGTTGATGGCTCGCGCTGTGCAGCTGAAAAACTTAAGTCGAAATTTACACAAGATCCATTTTTTAAAAAATTCATTGGAATTCTTATTTATGAACCAAGTTTTCTAAATTTAAGAATTATTCATTAGAAAATAAGTTTTTTGCAATGGTTCTGGCTGAAAATAAATTTGCCGCTCGCGTAGTTACTTTCCGGAAATAGATCCGGAACAAGAAAAAGTGTCACCACTTTTGTCGATCCCGTACGTCCGAATTAAAAGTTTAAAATTTGGAACTGATTTGGTGGTAACCGTGGTATCTCTATAACACAAGGTGGACGGTGACCACATTTCACTGGAATTTGAGGATTTTTGTAGAGCTGCAATCTGACTGAATAATTTTGCTATCTTGAACTGGTAAAACGACTGTATTATGTGAAGAGATCTCACTGGTCGAGTTGTCTCTCTGTCAAAGTCGAGTTGTCCTAACGGACGACTTGGCAAACGGTCAAGTTGTCTCAACGGTCGAGTTGTCCGAAGTCGAGTTGGCAAACGGTCGAGTTGTCTGACATCCCCTGGGTCCGACTTCTCCTGGGGCCGAGTTGTCCTGGGGCCGAGTTGACCTGGGTCCGAGTTGTCTTAGGGCCGAGTTGTCCTGGGTCCGAGTTGTACCAGGTCCGAGTAAGTCTTGGGGCCGAGTTGTCCTGATCCCCCCCACAATTCGGGGGTAACTACATGTACGAGTACTAGAATTATTGTACTGTATTAAAGTACAGGCTGGGAGTCGGAATCTGGTCTTTAGCCTGTTGCATGTCTGACGCCACGATAGGATGATAGGCCTAGGGATTGTAGGTCAACCCGCCCCCTGACCGACTCACCCCTTGGCCAACTCGCCCTCGGGCCAACTCG